CGGAAGTGCGCACCAACCAGCTGCACGCACCTGCGAAGCAGGTGCACCGTTGTCCTGCGGGTGCAACGCTGTACAGCCAACTTGCTGCAGCGTTGGCACACCGTGGACTTGCAACGTTGGCGCGCCGCTACTCTGCAACGCTGGAGTGGTGCGAGCTTTGCTGCGCTGAAGCGTGGTCGACCGTGCTGCGCTAGAGGTCGACCAACAGCCTAGCCTATCTCTGATGTAGCCTGTGTTGCCAATGTTCTTACAACCATTGTTGTCAGTCTTTGCTAGTGAAACTCTTGCAAAATCTCCCCGTGAATGTGCAAGCAGAGAACACACAAGCAAACAACTAAGGAACGCAGAGATCACACGAGCACCCGTGCCTAGCTCGTAGTCTAGCTCCCGTTGCTGCAGTTATCTCCGCAAGGGCCATATGTTATCGGGTAATGGGGTAGTCAGGTCGGGTCGACTTGATCCGAAATTCGATCGGTTTTATTAAATGGGTCGCAAGGCCCGGCACGAGTTTAAGCAATTCCACGCCAACCCCCGCGATTTTTCAAGTCATGTTGATACTTACCTCTCCACATCTTTCTAACTAGCATTGATGCCATTGATGCCAGCATAAAATTGCTAGCGTCTGGACGCTTTACGCAATTTTGACGCTCGGGCAGGCAGTCAACAAAACAAATGGTGGGGAGAGAGGGGAGGGATGGTGGGGAGAGAGGGGAGGGATGGTGGGGTGAAGGGAGGGGGATGATTGATGGGCCGACCAAAAACATGAATCTGGCCTCCTAATTTGCCAATGCTAGAAAAGCCCCTAGAACCTAAAAGCCTCGTTGGTTGGGGTTTCTAGTGTTGAATACTATTGGGATCTGGAAACTCTTAAGCACACCTGTAATACACACTAGATAGTCCCCACGGCGTCACCTCCAAGGGTCCTCGGGTGCCTGGCAATGCCAGCCCCTACCCAAGGGTCCGTGTTTGTAGATGGATTTTCCCAAGTGTGAAAACGGTCGTGTGCACAAAGAGCGTTCCCAACCTCAATTGCGCAGCGTTGACGAACGATAGGTGCGTGTGCAGAAAAGCTCCTCGTGTCAATACGTCGATAGAGAAAATATTCACTCGAAAAAGTTGATTACAATGAAACACAAGCACACAATTATAGAACTACTAATGCATGAGCAAAACTAACACAAGACAAACATTAAACAGTTATAAAACTGTAATATAAGACTTCGCCATGTTGTCTTGGTAAAACGGTTGTCAAACTTCAGCTGCATTTGGCTTGATCCACTTCATTAGAATAACTGATTTCAAGTGACACTTCATCCAAACGCCTCTGCTGACTTCCCTCGCGAGCACTCATGAATTCCCGTTAACACTCATGAAGTCTCATGTGGGGAAACCGTTTTCCAGTTGTAAGAATTTACCGTTTTGTACCTGAAACAAATTTGTCCAGCTAGGCGCGCGACTTTCCAGCGAAGTATCCTGTTCGCCGCGTTACAAAAGTCAAAGCTCGAGATTCAGTTATTCAACTGAGATCTCGAGTCAACCCCGAGCACCCTTCGAGATTCCTCGGCACCCCCCGAAACCCACGCTCACCCCTAAGGGGTGCAATCATGAATGACCGACTTTTCGGTCGTGCTGTACAGCGCATTAACATGCACTGTCCTGCGCGAGGACAGGGCAGTAATGTCCCCTGTCCTGTTGCGATCGTGGGCCCTGCCACGCTTGCAACAGTGCGAGGCGCACGCACGAGGCCTGAGGGGCCATACGCGCGTGTCAGGACCCCAGACGCGGGTCCCTGAGATTCACGCACAGTTGACCTTGACGAGCGCAAAAAGTCAAAGTGGTAAAACCACTCGCCACTCATTAAAATGCACGAAAAATATCAACTCTCATGAACTCTCATGAAAACTCACGAAAACACATGAGAAACAATGAGCGCACACGCAGACTCATGAACAATCGCGAACTCACGCGAACTTACCAAAACTCATAAACTTTCATGCGCTTTCACGGAAACTCATGAACATTCATAAATTGCACTCTCACACAAAAATGCACATAACTTATGAACCGCCAAGGCGATTCACAAACCGTAAACGCACAAATGTCAAGCACACAAATGCGCTCCTCACACCCCACAAATTACCTTAAAACAATGATTCATTTTCCTTTATCGTCGGCGAATAGGCGGTAGGTTGACGTGCAAACCACATTTTGCACTCAACATCTAGTTGAAGTGCAATTCAGTGTGGTTAGGGTGTTGATTTTGTGGTTGTGTCTTGTAGGGGGTTTTGATTGTCACATTGCTCTTGTGAGTTCCTTGTCAGGTTTTCCTGTCGCAGTGCAGTTTAATGTAGTGTGGAGGTTGGTTTAGTACTTGTGTTTTGTGAAGTTGCTCTCTGAGTCGTGATTTCGTTGAAAAATAGTGGTTCGATATGGTCCTCCACCGGAAGCTCCACTCAACATGGTCGCCACGAACCTGACGGGGCCATCTTTCGGCTCATATCAAGCCAGCCACTGATCGACAGTTGATGGCCAACCCTGGATTATCACAAGTTGGCCATATGTAGAAAACTCGTCAGTTCTTTCTCATACTCACTTATGCAACCACATCCACATCCTCACGATCATGTGTTCATGTTCCCACCCATAGCAGATCTACTGTTACTCACAAATAGCTCAGCATGTCCAAGGCACTGATGGAATTTGGAATGGATCCAGTTAGGCCTTCGATGGGCAGATTGCTGGTGGGAGTGGAATAGGACGAGTGGGGAACATTATAAATGGGATCAAGAATGAAAGAAAATGAGGTATTGATGAATCCAGGTGCTTTGGGTATTATGTGCGAAGAAGTAGCCCTTGCAGTTGCAGCCCAAGTGTTGTCCACCTACACCTAGGTCCATGGACACGATAGCACCTTGAGGGGAGCGTTGTGGATGGCGTTTTGCTCCTCTGAACTCCTTCCGATGTGAGCCATGCAAGGGATGGAAGGGGATAATAAGCTACCTCAGGCAACACCTTCACCTACTTTAGCCTACATATGCGTATATTCAGTTTCTATGTTTACGAATGGATGGTACGGTTCCGTGATGACAATTGAAAAAAGGGTGGAGTTTTTGGTTTCTGAAATGTTGACGAGCACAGGCCAGAACCGGGCCGGCTCACTGCACACGAGACGTTGCACACAGAACAGAGCAACCCTCCCAGCAAGACCCCCAGCAACTGCAAACCTTCCCACACCTCGCGTGTACATGAATGACGCTCCTCTCCCTCCACTCACCTGTATACTCCACTTATCCCTTGACAAACCCCAATTAAACGCCTTTCACTCACGTACCTGTTGCTTTACCTGTTGCCATACCCCTTGCCATGCCAATTAGTGCTCTGACTTATGCATGACCGGAGTACTGGAGCTGTGCCTATCCTAATCTCTTCTGTAGGATCTCATTTTTTTTCAGTTACTTAGACGTAGCAGCACTAATGCAACATGGGAGGTTCTTACAGACTCCGCATGGAAGATGTTCACTTGCCCGATGGTACTTCATCCTATTCGTTTACGCTCTCATTAAAGCTACCATGGTAGTTGACCTCAATATGCCTTCAAAAACAGTAGGGACCATCCTAAGGAGATCGCCAAAGCATTCGGTCAGTCTCAAAAAGTGTTAATAGTGGCTCTTGAAGAAAGGGGGTGCAACAGAAACACAAATAACCACACAGAGGGCATCAAGGGATTGCATGTACCGCAAGGGTTCACACTCGCTGAAATGCACAAAAAATCTGCAAATACAGAAATGCAGAATGGTGGAGCGAGAAGGAAAACAGAGGCATCCAAGTCAAGGTTGGCAAGAGTTGGTGCACACATGGGGGATGCAAGACCAGCTAGAGTTGGTTCTCTTACATGTAGGTCACCATGCCTTGGGCATCGCAGTACACACGGTAGGCCAAGCTGCACTCCCCCCCAGCCACCCACCCAGGGAAATTCCGCCCCCATGCTTGCTGCAAGTCCAGCAGGACTTGCTCTGGTGGCAGATGGCGGGGGGGAGGGGGGTAGGAGGGCAAGAGTAGGATAGGAGGGGATGGGGCAGGAATCAGAGTTATGATACATCAGATCTCATCACCTGTGTGTCGCACCTTTCTCTTTCTCTTCTTCCAGCCTGTGCCGCACGAATGTGGAATGGACACATGCGATGGTGAGGTACATCACAAAAATGCGTGTGTTTGAAAATCATCTGACGTCCCCGCAGGTCGATCGTATGTTTGACAATCGTTTGAAAAACGTATAGAAAACCTACAAAAATCGTTTGTCCCTGTTGAGACGTTTTGGAGACACTATTCGTATGTTTCCGCTCAATGTTTCTTGTCTGTTGCTGCAGCATTAGGGTTTCGCGACTAAGAGGGGTTGGAGCTGGTCCCCTCGCTTGGAAGATTTGTGTTGTAAACCTGTTCTTGATATAAATGTCTCCTTTTTACTTCTGTGCATTGTTTGTTACAGCAAAGCCTTTGAAGATTGTTTCTTGAATTTGTAAATCCCATTAAGAACATGGGTTTCCAAGTGTCATATTTAACCAATGGTTATTGATTTTGCACCTATTAGACTAAAGAAATGCCTAAAAATATCAACATTCTAGGCTCAAAATGAACATTTACCACAGTCACATTGGGTCAAAGGCATCACCATACAAATCTGTTGAGGAGGCTCACTTCATCGTCCTCGCAAGAGGGTACAATGTGCACGAGACTAAGAATGCAGTCTACATCAATCACCGCATAATTATCAACGCCCTCTGTGGGTAAAAGACGCTTGCATCCCGTCAACGGGCATTGTCGCTTGTCTTCGGTGTAGTACTCGCCTCGCCTCAGCTCACCACCCTTGTTGTAATGAAACAGCACAAGGCAACGACCATACCAAGGGGAATCCCTTCCCTGCAGCGTTGATCGCAATCGACGAGAAGTTTTGCTGGGCTGGGCTAGCCTTGACGAACTGCCCCCTTGACGTCCATTCCATCTTATCGTGTGGCGGGATCGCAAGTGCCGTATGCACCTGACACCAGGAGCATTCAACAAAGAAAAAGGGAAAGAAGCGAAAGAGGGGGTGGAGAGCATAAGGGAAATGGGGTATTGGCCAGGGTTTGCATGGACCGCAGTCTGGAGAGGGGGAACCAGGGGCGGATGGGGTGGAAAGCAAGCAGGAGAGGGGGAACCAGGGGTGGATGGGGTGGAAAGCAAGCAGGAGAGGGGGAAGCAGGGGCGGATGGGGTGGAAAGCAACCAGGAGAGGGGGAACCAGGGGCGGATGGGGTGGAAAGCAAGCAGGACAGAGGGAACCAGGGGTGGATGGGGTGGAAAGCAAGCAGGAGAGAGGGAACCAGGGGCGGATGGGGTGGAAAGCAAGCAGGAGAGGGGGAACCAGGGGCGGATGGGGTGGAAAGCAAGCAGGAGAGGGGGAACCAGGGGCGGATGGGGTGGAAAGCATGCAGGTGAGAGGGAACCAGGGGCGGATGGGTGGAAAGCAAGAAGGAGAGGGGGAACCAGGGGCGGATGGGGTGGAAAGCAAGCAGGAGAGGGGGAACCAGGGGCGGATGGGGTGGAAAGCAAGCAGGAGAGGGGGAACCAGGGGTGGATGGGGTGGAAAGCAAGCAGGAGAGGGGGAACCAGGGGTGGATGGGGTGGAAAGCAAGCAGGAGAGGGGGAAACAGGGGCGGATGGGGTGGAAAGCAAGCAGGAGAGAGGGAACCAGGGGCGGATGGGGTGGAAAGCAAGTAGGAGAGGGGGAACCAGGGGTGGATGGGGTGGAAAGCAAGCAGGAGAGGGGGAACCAGGGGTGGATGGGGTGGAAAGCAAGCAGGAGAGAGGGAACCAGGGGCGGATGGGGTGGAAAGCAAGCAGGAGAGAGGGAACCAGGGGCGGATGGGGTGGAAAGCAAGCAGGAGAGGGGGAACCAGGGGCGGATGGGGTGGAAAGCAAGCAGGAGAGAGGGAACCAGGGGCGGATGGGGTGGAAAGCAAGCAGGAGAGGGGGAACCAGGGGCGGATGGGGTGGAAAGCAAGCAGGAGAGGGGGAACCAGGGGCGGATGGGGTGGAAAGCAAGCAAGAGAGGGGGAACCAGGGGTGGATGGGGTGGAAAGCAAGCAGGAGAGGGGGAACCAGGGGCGGATGGGGTGGAAAGCAAGCAGGAGAGGGGGAAGCAGGGGCGGATGGGGTGGAAAGCAAGCAGGAGAGGGGGAACCAGGGGCGGATGGGGTGGAAAGCAAGCAGGAGAGGGGGAACCAGGGGTGGATGGGGTGGAAAGCAAGCAGGAGAGGGGGAACCAGGGGCGGATGGGGTGGAAAGCAAGCAGGAGAGAGGGAACCAGGGGCGGATGGGGTGGAAAGCAAGCAGGAGAGAGGGAACCAGGGGCGGATGGGGTGGAAAGCAAGCAGGAGAGAGGGAACCAGGGGCGGCTGGGGTGGAAAGCAAGCAGGAGAGGGGGAACCAGGGGCGGATGGGGTGGAGCGCAAGCAGGAGAGGGGGAACCAGGGGTGGATGGGGTGGAAAGCAAGCAGGAGAGGGGGAAGCAGGGGCGGATGGGGTGGAAGGCAAGCAGGAGAGGGGGAACCAGGGGCGGATGGGGTGGAAAGCAAGCAGGAGAGGGGGAACCAGGGGTGGATGGGGTGGAAAGCAAGCAGGAGAGGGGGGAACCAGGGGTGGATGGGGTGGAAAGCAAGCAGGAGAGGGGGAAGCAGGGGCGGATGGGGTGGAAAGCAATCAGGAGAGAGGGAACCAGGGGCGGATGGGGTGGAAAGCAAGCAGGAGAGGGGGAACCAGGGGCGGATGGGGTGGAAAGCAAGCAGGAGAGGGGGGAACCAGGGGTGGATGGGGTGGAAAGCAAGCAGGAGAGGGGGAAGCAGGGGCGGATGGGGTGGAAAGCATGCAGGTGAGAGGGAACCAGGGGCGGATGGGGTGGAAAGCAAGTAGGAGAGGGGGAACCAGGGGCGGATGGGGTGGAACGCAAGCAGGAGAGGGGGAACCAGGGGTGGACGGGGTGGAAAGCAAGCAGGAGAGGGGAAACCAGGGGCGGATGGGGTGGAAAGCAAGCAGGAGAAGGGGAACCAGGGGCGGTTGGGGCGGAAAGCAAGCAGGAGAGGGGGAACCAGGGGTGGATGGGGTGGAAAGCAAGCAGGAGAGGGGAATGCACCTGCAAGACTTGCGTGTTGATGCCCGCCTGTTTGAGGCGCAGAACCATCGCACTCATGGCGGGTTCACCCAGCGTCAAGACGTAGCTCCGGAACACCGAGTCGGTGATGTCTCCAATGACCATCTTCTTGTGGGTCTTAGTAAGCACCCTCCGGCCAGCCAGGCATGCCTGTCACCGTGAAGATGAGAGGGTTGGTATAGGGAGGGGGTGGGGTGAATGGTGTGGGCATTTGGAGGGTGGAAGAGAGGGTGGGGGAGGGGATTGATGCGGGGGAGGCGTAGGAGAGGGCTAGGGACCAGGGGGATATGAGGGGGGGGGGGGACGGGGGCAAGTTTGTGGGGACGAAGACGGGGATGGAGGGTAGGAGTCGGTTACTTTGGTTAGGTTGGTCCAGCATCTGATTGCCAACTCATGCAGACACATCAGTGAACATAGCATGGAAACAATGCTGAGAACAGAGCAGGGAAACAGAACAGGGTACAGAAAAGGGGAACGGACTAGGGGAACAGAGCAGGAGAAGAGAGCAAGAGGACTGAGAAGGGAAACAGAGCAGGGAAACAGAGCAGGGGAACAGAAAAGTGGAACAGAGCAAGAGAACAGAGCAGGGCAGCCATGCAGTGAGTTAGAGCAGGAGAGAAGAGCATGGGAATAAAACAGGGAAACAAAGCAGACGAGAGTGTGCAGGGGTACAGAGCAGGGGGGACATTGCAGGTTTAAAAGAATCACCTCTTTCATCGAAGTCTCGTACGTGCTGTCCCCGCTGGCCTCCCGCGCTAGTTGTCTAACTACCGCGTGCTCCAGGTGTTTCCGAACGATGCGATCTTCAACATTCTTCCAATTCGTGCCACGTGAAGGACGCTTCACAGTGGTCTTGTGGGAGTGCTCATAACAGTTCGACGAGTACTCCGCGGGGATTCCCCGAAGACGGATGGTTGACGGGAGGTGGACGAGGAGATGAATTTTCACTATTTTCCACTTTGACTTCTGCTTAGGAAATGCAACACGCAGAGCCTTCACCATGCTGGGGAGAGACAGTCGAGAGCATGCATGCAGTTAAGGGGTGGAATGCAGGCCAGGAAGGGAGAAACGACACGAGGGAGGGGGGGTGAGGAATCATGCAGTCAAGGGAAAAAAAAAGGGTTTAGGGTAGTTAAGCAGGTGGGGTATGGAAGAACAGGGATGCAAAGGGTCAAAACAAGATGAAAGGGAAGGGGGGGGGAGCATGTAGGTACGGTTGATGCGAGGAAAATGGGTGTATGTGGCAATGAACGGCTTGGGAGCCCACACAACAACAAGAGTAACTACCTGATGGTGGCATCTTTCATCCGTTTCAGGGAATCGTCGGTGTGGTACTCAGCGCGAATAAACTCCTTGTACCACTCGACCATGAGCACGATTGCCGTCCAGACATCTTTCTGTTCTGGAAGATTGATGATGAGAGGCAAGACCTGCATCATCGCACAATGCTCTGAAGCTGAAAAGTAGGCAGTGGATGTAAAGTAGGCCCACGCCGAAGGCACACGGAGCACGGAAGCTGGTGTGCCCTCCTTCAAAATCTTGTATCGCCTAGAGAGAAGGAACGGCTCAGCATGGTGGAAAATGCAAGCAAGGAGGGGAGGAACGGTTCAGCATGGTGGAAAATGCAAGCAAGGAGGGGAGGAACGGTTCAGCATGGCACGGAAAGTAAGCAAGAAGGGAAGGAACGGTTCAGCATGGCGTGGAAAGCAAGCAAGGAGGGAAGGAACGGTTCAGCATGGCGCGGAAAGCACGCAAGGAGGGGAGGAACTGTTCAGCATGGCGCGGAAAGCAGGCAAGGAGGGGAGGAACGGTTCAGCATGGCGCGGAACAACTCACTCCAGAAGAATCTTCCGTTCTTTTGGAGTCAGCTTCTTCACAAGGCACTTCATGGCATGCAGCCATATGCCCTGCTCCCAGATGTGCATGATGTCCGGGGGGACAGCGAGGTACGTGTTGCCCCAGAGAGTCTTTGCGAATTCCCAGTCCCACAAAAGGCTCTGCGTTGTGGGTCAAGGACACAGAGTCACTATGGCGGGTCGGGGTAATAAACACAAACAGCAGGCTGCGGATTGGAGTAGGTTCTCATGCACACTAGCCAGTGCAGTATATGGTGTGGATTGAGGGAAACCAGATGAGATGCGCGGCAATGCATGCGGAACAAGCTATGCAAGGGTTACCTTCAAAAAGTGAGTAGAGGTCTTCTTCTTCACCGCCTTCAGCTTCTTCTTGGTCTTTGCTGATTCCATCTCCTTGTACGCATCCTTCTGACTCTTGACACCTCTGAGGACAATAGTGTCTTCCTGCTCATCCAGGCACTCCTTATCGGGGGGCGTTTGAGTCAACTCAAACGTCATCGCATCGAGGTGCTCCTTATCAGCCAAGCACAACGAGCACGGATGGAGCGAGTTGCATGCCATCGTACAAGTGACCTTAGAAGACTCCAGGTGATCTGTCACCCATGAATATAGAAGCGTGAATGCTCTATATTGCACACCGGCACTGTCTTCCACCATCACCCCGCCCCTACACAGCCGCCAAGGATGAAGGGGGAAATAGGGAGGTAGAGGGGGGATGATGGGATAACACGTCGGAGATGGGAGTAACGGAGTGAGCATGGGCGGCCCTAAGCAAGCAGATGAAGAACGGTTAGGAAGATGGGGACAGCAAGCAGGGAAGGCATTAACGGCATGAGATGGTGGCAAAGCAAAGTTATGACCGAATACAGCGTTGTGGCACGCATGCGAAGGAGGACCAGATGTGAACAAGGGTCAACAAAGGGAGCGGAGAGGGTATGCCTCGGGGAAAGAATATCAGAAAGGTAGTGGGGTGGAAACGTGATGGAGTGGTTGGTCTGACCAAACCAACCCGCTAATGATGGAAACAGCGGGGTGGCAGGATTATAAATAGGGATGAGGCAGAATACGTAGTACGATGACGGAGATTACTAGGGATGCGCGCCTTTGGGTGACAGTAGTGTTGACTCACCCTTTCAGATGTGAAGCCGCCTTTAAATCTTTAATCATGATCTCTGCAGCGCGCTGGAACACTCGAACCTTTTCTTCCGACGAGAGGTCAGCTGGGATATTAGGCAGAAGCCCGAGAAGCTCAGTGCCTCCTTCGAGCCACCTAGCCCATTCCGGAATGTTCCCAAAGGACAAAAGAAATGGGTGGGCGGATTGGCGCCCGTTATGTGATAGATTGGTCTGGTCCAAGAACAGAATGAGTGCTATAACTATGCCATACTTCCGCACCCTATCCTGCCACAGTGAATGAGAAAGTGATGGAAATCTGAATTGGATCCTATGTTTTGACGGTCTTGTCAAACGCGACATGAGCTGGAACCAAACTTACCCAAGCCTCCAGCATCCAGTCCGTGTTTGCAGGGGTACTGTAGCGGCGAACCCCATCAACCTTCCACTCTTGAGGCATGATGGTGAATCCCTTGACAGCTGACATTTTCTTGAACATGGCCTGAAGGAGCTGATGGTGATAATGACGGAAACAAAGATGTAAAACAGACGTGAAGAAACGATGGTTCCCTTTGGTCCGATGGTTTGATCGTCATCACTAAACCCCCACCTCCACTCTAAAGAACGTGACACCGCACCTGGGAGACACTCACTTTTATAGCGTTTCCGCGTTTGAAAGTGAGAAACCCAATCTCGTGATCCACTGGGATCTCCTCGACGATCCATTCATTCGCCTCTCCAACGTCAAAGGTGTTCTCGTACTTCTCCAGGTCCCGGTAGCTGTTCCAATCGTCCAGCTGCTTTGGATCTAATTTCGGATGTCTAAGTAACTGTATCGCGTCGTTTATCGCCCCGTTGGTAAGGCCGTGAGACCGTGCCAAAATGCATATTTCCGCCTTAACATCAAGAATTTCCTCTATAGGAGCTTCTTCCCCCACGAGTGTGGTGCTACACGTATGGACCGCATCACAAACTCGCTCTGCCGGCTGCTGGTGCTGCTCTACTGCGTTTGGAAGTGCTGCTAAGGGAATCGAATGCTTTGGCGTGGGAAGGGTGGCTCTTCCTAACGGGACAAATGTATACTGCTTCTCAACATCACGGCCCAGCTTCTTTCGTTTAGCAGCCTCTTGAGCCTTGCGTCTTTGGGCTCGCTTACAGCCGTCATGGTTAGCTTGATGGCTACGTACTGTTTGATAGCAGTACACGCGCTTATTGCAAAACTCGCAACCCTGACCCTCCATGGAGCAGATCTGTCCGTAGGACTGAAATGGTGTTTGGCATATTAGCTTGAGATGTGAGTGGTAACACTGCACCGTGGTGAGATAGTAAACTATCGTATGGACGATAGTTTACCGAAAGGCGAGGGAAGGATTTGGCGCGAACACAAATTAGCGAGTTGAGCCTGAACATATGTTTCCGGTGACCCTGATTGGCCATTGGTCATCGAGTGTCAGTAGTTGGTTTGCAATTGGTTAAGGTTTGTGATGTACTGCTCGAAGTGCTAGGTCACACTGTTTATTGGTGCGCGACAACCGCACAGATGGGCAAGAACGCCATGCGACTCATACTCAGAATCTCTCGGTGTAACTGTTTTCGCGTACAAAAACTGCTTTCTTGTCGCAGCAACCTGACGAGGTTTTGTACCCAACTGGAAACAAGTTGGCGAAGGTCGTTTCCGCTTGCGACATGGACCTGACATCCTTTTTGGGGTACACGCCAATTGTGTGTCAGAAAAATGCAAGCCGCACCAATACCATTGGAGCAGGGAATCCTGTCAGACCACCCAACACTGGGCACCAAGTAGACAAGATATCAAGAGCAGGCTATTTGTTGACGACGAATCGGAGCAGGAACTTTAGCACAAAGTTGACCAACTAAGGGCAAGGGCGTGTGGGTCCTTCCTCAAGAGGAACTACAGTATCTGCTTCGACTTTCCGTTGAGCTGGATGGGCAAGGAATTTTGACCCTTACCTAAGGCAAGATCCTGCTCAAGCTGAGTTTGCGTACTCAAGATATGGAGGAGAAGGGCATACCCAACTTAGCGCGATGTAGTTTCCGGCACATGCGCATGCCATCCCCGTTTGGGGGATCTCTTGAAGTCAAACCCTCAGATTACCGCACGCTGGAAAACGAGCAGTGGATCAGTGGCACGGTTATCGAGTGCCTCTGTGTTGAACACAGAGCAAACTGATTTGTTGACCCTTGATTTTAGTTTCTCACGAGCTTCACCGACATTGTATATTTTCATGTCGATCCTGCAGTATGTTACACTACGAGTACGGATATGACAATGCGTCGTGGCTTTGCACATCGCCTTATTTCTGGACACTCGTAGCACGCCCGGGGTCGAATAGGATCACTAGGCAGGCCTATGGACATGACATTTTGTCGTTTCAGCACGTTCTTGTTCTGATTAACAAGGAGTAAGTAGTCAGGTCTTTTTATTCATGTATGGAACGTACCCATGTGCTGCAAACTAACGACATTGGAGTCTCGATAACATTGCAGTGCGCACTGGAGCCTTGCTGTCATCGAAATTAACCACGCTCCGGGATCCCTTATACCGATCAAGTGTGTCCTGTGGCATGCGGACTCGTATGCAACTCACGTCAACATTGATGGACCTTTGAGAAAGTGAGATATGTGCTTCGTATGAAACATGATTCTTGCGGACGAGTGCTAACGACCCGTACGCTCAATGCGCAGATGTTTGATGCGACAGGTCATGAAGCGCTACGCATGGATCACGGAGACTGAAGCAAAATCTTGGGCAGCAGAGATTCCGTTTAACGCCATCGAGGTATGCACGTTGGATGCGCGGTAGCGTACGGGGGTGGGAAGGGTAGGATGCGCATGAGTGCAATGGGGATGCACCGATGAGAAGGGGAGTGAGATGAGTGGGCTGAGCATGAGTGCGATGGGGATGCGCGGATGAGAAGGGGGGTGAGAGGAGTGGGCTGCGCATGAGTGTGGTGGGGATGTGCGGACGAGAAGGGGGGTGAGAGGAGTGGGCTGCGCATGAGTGCGGGGGGGATGCGCGGATGAGAAAGGGAGTGAGACGAGTGGGCTGCGCATGAGTGCGGTGGGGATACGGGATGAGAAGGGGAGTGAAAGGAGTGGGATGCGCATGAGTGTGGTGGGGATGCGCGGATGAGAAGGGGAGTGTGAGGAGTGGGCTGCGCATGAGTGCGGTGGGATGCGCGGATGAGAAGGGGAGTGAGAGGAGTGGGCTGCGCATGAGTGCGGTAGGGATGCGCGGATGAGAAGGGGGGCGAGAGGAGTGGGCTGCGCATGAGTGCGGTGGGGATGCACGGATGAGAAAGGGAGTGAGAGGAGTGGGCTGCGCATGAGTGCGGTGGGGATGCGGGATGAGAAGGGGAGTGCAAGTAGTGGGCTGCACATGAGTGCGGTGGGGATGCGCGGATGAGAAGGGGGGCGAGAGGAGTGGGCTGCGCATGAGTGTGGTGGGGATGCGCGGATGAGAAAGGGAGTGAGAGGAGTGGGCGGCGCATGAGTGCGGTGGGGATGCGCGGATGAGAAGGGGAGTGTGAGTGGGCTGCACATGACTGTGGTAGGGATGCGCGGATGAGAAGGGGGGCGAGAGGAGTGGGCTGCGCATGAGTGCGGTGGGGATGCGCGGATGAGAAGGGGAGTGAGACGAGTGGGCTGCGCATGAGTGCGGTAGGGATGCGCGGATGAGAAGGGGGGCGAGAGCAGTGGGCTGCGCATGTGTGCGGTGGGGATGCGGGGATGAGAAAGGGAGTGAGAGGAGTGGGCAGCGCATGAGTGCGGTGGGGATGCGCGGATGAGAAGGGGAGTGAGAGGAGTGGGCTGCGCATGAGTGCGGTGGGGATGCGCGGATGAGAAGGGGAGTGAGAGGAGTGGGCTGCGCATGAGTGCGGTAGGGATGCGCGGATGAGAAGGGGGGCGAGAGCAGTGGGCTGCGCATGAGTGCGGTGGGGATGCGGGATGAGAAGGGGAGTGCGAGTAGTGGGCTGCACATTAGTGCGGTGGGTATGCGCGGATGAGAAGGGGAGTGAGAGCAGTGGGCTGCGCATGAGTGCGGTGGGGATGCACGGATGAGAAGGGGGGTGAGAGGAGTGGGCTGCGCATGAGTGCGGTAGGGATGCGCGGATGAGAAGGGGAGTGAGAGGAGTGGGATGCGCATGAGTGTGGTGGGGATGCGCGGATGAGAAGGGGAGTGTGAGGAGTGGGCTGCGCATGAGTGCGGTGGGGATGCGCGGATGAGAAAGGGAGTGAGAGGAGTGGGCGGCGCATGAGTGCGGTGTGGATGCGGGATGAGAAGGGGAGTGCGAGTAGTGGGCTGCACATGAGTGCGGTGGGGATGCGCGGATGAGAAGGGGAGTGAGAGCAGTGGGCTGCGCATGAGTGCGGTGGGGATGCGCGGATGAGAAAGGGAGTGAGAGGAGTGGGCTGCGCATGAGTGCAATGGGGAGGCGCGGATGAGAAGGGGAGTGTGAGGAGTGAGGTGCGCATGAACAACATTTTTCTACCTGAATTCGAATATTGCACCTAATCCCAACACTATCACCTTCTCGGGCCATTTGCAAGTGCGACAGCAAGACAACGATAATGACTGCGGTGTTTATGTAATGCGAGTCATTCATACTCTCGTCGAATCCGAATTCGTGCAACTTGGTCGGGACGCCAAGACAGTGGAGGCGGCAATATCGTAAAGATTTGGCTAAGTGGTCGTGTTTCTATGATAGTGCATGCATCTCTATTCAGACTGTGTGATGCTCTTAGCCACCGTCGGTGTTGGATAAGGGCTGCATAATCTAGCACTAGACATGAGATTAGCTGAGTATAATGACATATGGCCTTGTTATTATGCTACTATCCTGAAACGAAAGGTGTGTGTCACGTCATGGTGCTGAGGACCAGGAGTGGAGTGGGCAGTATGGAGTGGTGTCCCACCGAACCATGCATGCATGCAATGAATGGATGGCTGAAGGTGGGTTGGACAGCAGCGTGCCTTCAAGAGGCACGGCATACAAAAACGGTGTGTGGTTATACGGTACTAGAACATGTCAACACACAGCGTGCCGCATGTGACTCGTAAGGTTGCACAACAGACACAACGCAGCTTCTCTATCCTCCTTTGCTGAATGCATAGTACCCCTACAATCAAGAAACACTCTGCTGATCTCTTCCAACCAGGCTGAATATGGGATGTTGCATGCCAGAGCAAGACTTGATTTGAATCGTGCTTACACTTAGCAGCCATTTGGTGTATGTGAAACTCCAGTCCCCTGGTATCTTGGTGATGTTGCATATGACAATATACCACGGTATCACCCTTCTCACTGTTCATGGCAGTTTCATAAAGGCGGCCTCTGTGACACATTACGACGGTTTTTGGAGTTTGAATTCCTGGTAGGGTTCTTTCTGTGGTTGAGGGTTATCCCTAAATGCGTGACTTGTATGTTAGTCCAGATCCAATCACAAGTACGGTACCTGGAGTTTGGTAGAAAAACAAACCAGATGATGTGTTAGAATGATATTTGGGTTGTTATACAGCGCACTAGTAACGCCCATCCTTGTTTTCGATATTGCAACGATGGTTCAAGGGCAACAGAATAGAGTCCTTCTAGAAGCGCGATGAGTTGGACTAGGCACGGATCGTCCTACGCGTGTATTCGAATTTCGCGCTGCCTGTTTGCTGTTGTGGCATTGATTTTTCGTGACATATATTTTTTTGCGGCTAGTCTAGCTCTGATGTTGACATTCACGCAATCGAAAATACTTAGTAGTATCGCGCTTTTAGTACAATGCAGATATAGGATTGCTGGCGAAACGGCGTTCCAGCCCAACAAGTCTCCTACGAAGACCAGGCTTGTGAACACTCACATACTGCCAGCACGTACCTTGCAACTTCTAGGGCAGCTGGGCTGCTGCGATCCCAGAACTGGTACAGGAGCTGAAGAAGGCGCGGAACTCCAGCACGACGTGACTTCATGGGAAGTTTTCGTTAAAGGAACATGCCGTGCCATCTTTCGTGGCGGTAGTTGAGACCACGAAACCCTAAGGCGAAGAGCACCAAGAACGTCACGCTTGTACCAGTTGAGGTTCTCCTCACGATACCCTCCTACGATAGGCATTTCCAAATGTTGCCTCACTGTGAGTTGCTGCCATAACGCATTGCTGTTAGCAGTAGGCACTTCTAACCTTAGAGCGTTACAATTACTCGTCGTAGGCACGTCCAGCTATGGCGCAGTCGTAATGCTCTCTAAGGGCGCGTCCAGCAATGGCCCGCTCCTGTTCTTGCTTGCAAGACCTTCTTGGGCGCGTTCCGCAGAAACGTACTGGGATTTCGCGCTGCGTTTCTCGCAGGCACGTCTAGCATGCGCAGTGGGATTCCTTGCACCTCGAATACCTATTTAAGCAAGCTCTGATCCATCGAAATGCACTCTTCATCTTGCAATCACTCAGTGGACTGGTCCAGCAGCAATAATGGTAGACATCTGCGATCTCGATCAACAGGCCGATGCTACTGCGGTGGTAGTAGGCACTGGAGCTTTACAGCCCCTGGAAGGCGCCAGAACGGGTGCAGAACAGAGGCTTCATGGCGAGATGACACCTCACAAAGCTGTTGCGTTAGTTATTCAGTATCGGAGGAAGAACAAATCTTCTGCACGCGCTGCCGAGGAGTCAGGGGACTCATCATCGGATAGTGACCAGTCTGGTGACGAGCCTTACGCTGGCCGAATTAGTCGCGGCGGTTCAAGCGAGCCGCGGAACGGTCCTAAGCTGAAGCTGCTGGACCAATTCAAACCTGCTAAAGAGAGGAAAGGTAAGCAAGAGCCTTTTAGCTCCGCATAGCATCTTTCTATGTCTGTTTCAGAGTTGCTCATTGATATCGTGGTTGATTTCGCCACCAATAGAGGTGCTCCACTTGTCACCACTGATCTTGTCGCCCTTTCTTTATGTGTTGTAGCTAAACGTGGTGCCAAGAAAGGGAAAAGAGGGAAACAACAGGCGACCGGGGCAACACGACAGCATGAAGCTGTAGCCGACGAGGATCACTTGCAAGTGAAAGGGCATGAGCGTGACGGGGAGCGGGGCGGCGAGCGTGACAGCGATCGTGACAGCGAGCGTGACGGCGATCGTGACGGAGAGCATTACAGCAAGCGTGACGGCGATCGTGACGGCGAGTGTTACAGCAAGCGTGACGGCGATCGTGACGGCGAGCATTACAGCAAGCGTGACGGCGATCGTGACGGCGAGCGTTACAGCAAGTGTGACGGCGATCTTGACGGCGAGCGTTACAGCAAGTGTGACGGCGAGCGTTGCGACAGGATTGGCGAGGGTGAGGGTGATCATGAGGGCGAGCTTGAAGTGAAGCGTGACGCATCCCCTCCTACTGCAGCAGGTGCTCGACAGGATGGTGCAGAGAATGTTCCTGGGCATGGGAGGGGTGGGAGGGAGAGCCGTGGCGGGGAGTTGGAGGATCAGAGGGGGGTGTCAGGGAGGGTGAAGTCACGGTGCCGAAGGGCTGGAAAGAAAGCCCCTTTCAAGGAGGAATCTTCCGATGACGATGAAAGCTCTGAGGAGGAGTCGGGGAGCTCCTCTGGGAGCGAGGAGAAGTACGACGATGAGGAGGACGAAAGTGAGGATGCGGAATCAAAGTCAGAGAGTGAGGAGGAAAAGAGGAGGAAAGGCAAGGCTCAGGGTGGACGCAGAAACGGATCTAGCGGAAAGCGTTGTCGCGCTAGGAAGGAAAAGAAAGGGCGTAAGAGGGGGAGGCCCCAAGAACATGCACCAGCAAAGCGTTTAGAAAGTGGGGAAACCCGAATGGGTAAGGAGCGGCGTACTTTGAATGCCGATCTTGGGTTCTACAACGACATGAAGGTTTTGGGGAAAACAGTAGATGCTATAGCGGAGAACCGACGGGAAAGCATTCGCAAGAAACGGGGGGCTTCAGACGACCCCTATGCGGCACTCGCTTCAGGTTCCTTGTTGGGAAGGAATGCCCAGCCGGTTCGTGGGCGGAGTGGCATCAAAGTTGAAGTCCAGCGTGTTGCTGACAACCGTAAGCATGGAGGAAGTGACGATGTGGAGTGGGGCATTGGGCAGGGTTTTGAGCGGAGTAGTGGCGTGCAGGTCGGACTCCAGGGCGCAGCTGACGGTGGCAACCCTGGTGCTGGAGGTCAGCCAAGCGACAGTCGACCTAGTTGTGAGGCTTTTGGTAAAACAGATATTGGGCCTAAAGTCGCGGGAGAATCCGCAAGGTGCAAGCAAGAGGGTGCGGCAGCTGTATTCCCTTTCAGTAGTGCTGGTGCATCACCCAACGCGTCCATGCAGCAATTGTTTCAGGCATTGCAGGAAGCGAATAGGCAGATTGCGGAGCTGAAGGCAGCACCAAGGCCCCTGGGAAATTCTGCTGGAGTAGGAATGCCAGTTCCACCTCTGCGGGCGATATCCAGCGAGCTACCCTCCCAGGAATCTGAGCCCGTGTGTGTGGCGGAGAGTGCTGTACAAGGACCGCCCATCGCTAGGAGACATGGGATGCCATCTGCCACGAATTTGAGGGTCAGTTGCCCTTCCCCAACCCGTAAATTTGTTTCCCTGCATGCCTTGCTTTGCATCCATCTCTGTTTGCCCCGTTCAAAGCATGCTGTGCTCCCCAAGCATCTTAATTTGCACCTTCCCTGCATGCCTTGCATTGCATCCATCTCTGTTTGCCTCATTCAAAGCATGCCCTGCTCCCGTTGCATCCTAATCTGCACCTTCCCTGCATGCCTTGCTTCGCATCCATCTCTGTTTGCCCCGTTCAAAGCATGCCGTGCTCCCCAAGCATCCTAATTTGCACCTTCCCTGCATGCCTTGCATTGCATCCATCTCTGTTTGCCCCATTCAAAGCATGCCCTGCTCCCCATGCTTCCCAATTTGCACCTTCCTTGCATGCCTTGGATTGCATTCATCTCTGTTCGCCTCATTCAAAGCATGCCCTGCTCCCCATGCATCCTAACCTGCACCTTTCCTGCATGCCTAGCAGTGCAGTCATCTCTGTTTGCCCCATTCAAATCATGCCGTGCTCGCCATGCATCCCAATTTTCACCTTTCCTGCATGCCTTGCAGTGCAGTCATCTCTGTTTGCCACATTCAAAGCATGCCTTGCTCCCCATGCTTCTCAATGTGCACCTTCCCTGCATGCCTTGCATTGCATTCATCTCTGTTTGCACCATTCAAAGCTTGCCCTCCTCCCGTTGCATCCTAATCTGCACCTTCCCTGCATGCCTTGCTTCGCATCCATCTCTGTTTGCCCCGTTCAAAGCATGCCGTGCTCCCCAAGCATCCTAATTTGCACCTTCCCTGCATGCCTTGCATTGCATCCATCTCTGTTTGCCCCATTCAAAGCATGCCCTGTTCCCCATGCTTCCCATTTTGCACCTTCCTTGCATGCCTTGGATTGCATTCATCTCTGTTCGCCTCATTCAAAGCATGCCCTGCTCCCCATGCATCTTAACCTGCACCTTTCCTGCATGCCTAGCAGTGCAGTCATCTCTGTTTGCCCCATTCAAATCATGCCGTGCTCGCCATGCATCCCAATTTGCACCTTTCCTGCATGCCTTGCAGTGCAGTCATCTCTGTTTGCCACATTCAAAGCATGCCTTGCTCCCCATGCTTCTCAATGTGCACCTTCCCTGCATGCCTTGCATTGCATTCATCTCTGTTTGCACCATTCAAAGCTTGCCCTCCTCCCGTTGCATCCTAATCTGCACCTTCCCTGCATGCCTTGCTTCGCATCCATCTCTGTTTGCCCCGTTCAAAGCATGCCGTGCTCCCCAAGCATCCTAATTTGCACCTTCCCTGCATGCCTTGCATTGCATTCATCTCTGTTTGCCCCATTCAAAGCATGCCCTGTTCCCCATTCTTCCCTTTTTGCACCTTCCTTGCATGCCTTGGATTGCATTCATCTCTGTTCGCCTCATTCAAAGCATGCCCTGCTCCCCATGCATCCTAACCTGCACCTTTCCTGCATGCCTTGCAGTGCAGTCATCTCTGTTTGCCCCATTCAAATCATGCCGTGCTCGCCATGCATCCCGATTTGCACCTTTCCTGCATGCCTTGCAGTGCAGTCATCTCTGTTTGCCACATTCAAAGCATGCCTTGCTCCCCATGCTTCTCAATGTGCACCTTCCCTGCATGCCTTGCATTGCATTCATCTCTGTTTGCACCATTCAAAGCTTGCCCTCCTCCCCATGCATCCTAATTTGCTCCTTCCCTGCATGCCATGTTCCATGTTTTCCCTTTCGTTGAATACTTCATTAGCTCTACATCGAGGATACCAGGAATCGCATGTGCATGGAAGCTGACGACAACGAAATCAATTTCTACCCATCTTTTGAGAAGAGGATCTTGGTCTTGCACGCGGTCATATCAGAGAACTACATAGTGTCTTTGATTCAGTTGAAAGAGGTCCTGCAGGACCAGAAACGCATTGAAACTTTCAAGCGTGTTTGGACGCAATGGGAGAACGAGCGCGCCTTCTATATCAAAAGGGCGGTGCTCGAGGCCCTGGGGGTGGCAGTTAGTGGGCTGCGTGCATCAGAGTTACACATCGACGTGGAATTGAAGTGCGATCTTTGGGGCACCTACTGCCCAAGTGAGTATTCCATCGCACAATGCCTTGTATTGCATGATTTTGGGAGGGTTACACCCCCAACCCCCTTCCCTGGTCACTGTTTCTCTCTTACCCTTTCCCGTTTTCCTTCGACCGACCAGATTGACCTGCCAATGCCCCACCTGTCCCCTCCCCAACCCCCTCCAAACCCAACTGCTGCAGCTGCCGATGATCCACTAAGCACATGGGGGAATGATGAGGAGTCCGGCCTCCCATTCGCCAACAAGTGCTTCTTTGATGCTGCCATGGATGCCTTTGGTGAATATGCTGTGGGGACAAAGTTGTGCATCAAGGCGTATCACATTGCATGGATTATCATGGTGGTGAGCAGTTTCTTTCTCTCTCTCGTTGTCCCCAATTCATTGTGTTCTTCTACCCCATTCCTTGCTTGGGTTTCAACAAATGTTTCAATTAGCTTTCCATCCTTGCTTGACATGCACGGTGCTCCCAATACTTCACTGTTTCCCCCTTTGAAACATGATCCACAAATCCCTCCAAACTCCATCACTGTACAGATCGATTACGGATTGTCAAAGACAAACAAGACGACAATGAACCTCACCAACTCCCACCGTAAGAACACCAAATGGGTGACAAGCATCCGCGCCCTTGTGAAAAGGGTGGTGAGGGATCACTTCACCCAGGCCAGTCCGGCCTACAACCCCCGCATGAAGGGTTTCGAATGGGGGCCATTTGGCCTTTTTGTCCACGAGTCGGGCTTTGAGGAGTATAGGGCCACACCAAGCACCCGCACTCCGGTGGGGAGGGTGGTTGCTTGATTGAACTAGAGTAGAAGTTGCAACGAAGAGGAGCAGCGGGTTGTAAACAGTGCGAGAGGCAGAGAAAGGTGGAGTGGGGAGACACAGGGACATAGCAGTGGAGGGGAAAGCTGCAGAACTGGTGTGGGGTGTGCTGTGGAGGAGTAGCAGTAGGGAGAGTATGAGATGGACAGCAAAAAGGGAAGCTATGTTGAGCTGTGAGACTGCAGCGGAGCAGCGGGGTATGGCAGCTGTGAGAGGCAGTAGGTATTTGCTTGGGGGCAGCAATGCTGTGATGCTGGGAGGAGCAGGAGTGGAGTGTGCAGCAGTGGAACAGCAAACAGGAAATCAGAGTAATAAAAACAGAGGGGGTATGGGAGAAGGATGAGCGGAGAAGGGGTAGCAGCGGGTCAAGCAGAGTAATGACAGCTGGGTGGGAACGGAAAAGGACAGCAACGGGGGAAGAAGAGCACCCACAACAGTGGGGGGAGCTCCAAAGAGGCAGCAGTGCGGGAAGCAGAGTAGACACAGAGAATTTGGGGAAGCGGAGAAGGGGCAGCAGGGGGAGCAGAGTAATCACAACAGTGGGGGGAGCAGAGGAGTGGCAGCAGCTTGTCAAGTAGAGTAGTTACAATAGGGGGGAGCAAAGAAGGGGCAGCAGCGGGGAAGGAGAGTAGTCACAACAGTGGGGGGAGCTCCAAATAAACAACAGCCAGGGGAGTGGAGTAGTCACTGAGCAGTGGGGGACGAATATAAAGGGCAGCAGCTGGGGAGCAAAGGTTTCCGCAGTGTGGGGAGCGGAGAAGGGGCAGCAAGGAGGGAACAGAGAAGTCACAACAATGGGGGGAGCGAAGAAGGGGCAGCAGTGGGAGAAGAAGAGTATGTATTCAGTGGGAGAGGCGAAGAATCACAGCAGCGGGTCAAGCTTAGTAGTCACAACAGGTGAGGAGCAAAGTTGAGGAAGCAGTGGGGGAAGAAGGGCAGTCACAATAGTGGGAAGAAGAGCAGTCACAGCAGCCAGGGGAGTAGAGCAGACACAGAGCATTTGGGAAAGCGAAGAAGGGGCAGCATAGGTCACAGCAGTTAGGAACTCCAGGCCAACTAGTGCGATAGGAGACGAGTAGGGTATTGCAGCAGCAAGTCAGATTACCAGTAGAAGGGAGTGACAATGTGACAGTAGGAGACTAGATGCAGGGATATGAAGCAAAAGGAATGTTGTAGCGTTTTTAATTCCTACTTTTCTGATTTTTGCGAGCACACATCGTATGTCGGTGGGTGGGATCCATGGAAAATGATGTTTCGTGTTGGGTCGAGGCAATATCGGACCTTGTGCAAGGTGTAATTATGGCTTTGTAAGGTTAAAAAACATACATGATGCTCTTTTCCAACAGTATAATTTACAGGCATTGACACTCTGCTAAACTATGTCAAAATCCAATTCAAACACGTAACAAAACACAGCAAAGCACCATTTTTACACCGCATAAATGTCAATAGGTGTCGCCAACATGTCCATAGCAAGGTTTCCAAAACCCCAATAGAACTTCCCTCGCATGTATTCAAAACCATTTCAGAACCTGCCAATCATACGAAAATCATCTGACACATCATTTGAAAAAAGGTTCGATACTTTCTTCTAAAAAAGTTTGAACCCCTACATTTTGAAAACATTTAAACAAAGTCTTCAAACACACATCATGTATAGTATTCAGATAGTTGATTTTTGTGATGTTTACGCGCACATCCCGCTGCCGCTGCTCCTAACGCCCCTGCAGATGCGCGTTGCTGCTACTGCTGATGCTGCGAATGCACCTGCTGATGCGATCCCACCTGCTGCGCGCCGCTGCTGCTAGCGCGCTCCGGTGCCTTACGCGCACATCCCGCTGCCGCTGCTCCTAACGCCCTTGCAGATGCGCGTTGCTGCTACTGCTGATGCTGCGAATGCACCTGCTGATGCGATCCCACCTGCTGCGCGCCGCTGCTGCTAGCGCGCTCCGGTGCTTTACGCGCACATATCGCTGCCGCTGCTCCTATTGCTCCTGTAGATGTGCGTTGCTGCTACTGCGAATGCTGCGAAAGCACGTGTTGATGCGATCTCAGCTGCTGCTCGCCGCTGCCTGCTCTACGCGCACGTCCTGCTGCCGCTTCTCTTAACGCCCCTGTTGCAGCGCCCTGCTGCTGCTGCAGACGATGCTACGAATGCACCTGCTAATGTAAACAGGTTGCTGCGCGCTGCTGTTTCGAGCACGCTGCGGTGTCTCACGCACACATGCCGCTGCCTCTGCTCCTGCTGCTGCGATGTGCTGCTGCCCACCCGCTCATACGCTTCTAGCGCGCACCGATACTACCTGCGGATGCTGCAAGCGCACCTACGCGCTCATGTGCTCCAAGCGCGCGCGTGCTTATCTAAACATCTATTTGTGCTAAAACACACTGCCGTTTGTCCTATTGGTGGTCGGCTCCTCGTAGCGGGCAAGTGCAAATGATAAGATGAAGGGCACAACTATAGAACCAACGTTTTTAAATCTAGGAAAGCAGTTGTTAAGTAAGCTAAATTCCGAGCCGCGTATTTCTCACAGCAGCATGATAAACTAGTCGGGAGGGAGTGAATTGAGCTAATGCTCCTCTGTGATTGCCAAATTGAGTTTCCAATTTTCGCGCCAAACCACGCCCAGCATCCAAACTGACATGGTCCTGGCCTGACGAATGGCATCCATACACCATTGAGAGTTGAGTGCCTTAACGAATCCGAAATGCATTTCGTTACATTGTGCGGAATGCGCAGAAGGTTGAACAGCCCTAAGCGAGGAACGCAATCCATACACAGTATCGAGGTTCACATTAAACTGTACATAGTCGATTTTGTAATCAGCTCAAGAACATAACATTCACTGTATCAACAATGTCGAGGTGTTTCTTAACCTGAGCCGCCACCAGAGCAACTTTCCCAACCTACGGAAGTTGCCTGTGTCACTCGTCCAATTCTCTCGCAACTGGCGTTGGGAAGGAAACTTGAAAACCTAAACCTGTTGAGACTGAAAAGCGAGTGATGCGCGACATGCAAAGCTCGGAAGTTGCAAGTAGCACATTTTCAACATCTATTCCGCGAGGCCAACAATTGTGATATAGGCGACCTCCAGAAACTCCCAACGGAGGAGCTGCACCGCGACTGCCACAACGGCCACTATGCTGAGACGCCCAACGCTGAGCAAACCACTCACGAAGCTCCTGGGGTGTAAGGGGCTCACGCGGACGCCATTGCAGCTGCACTAGGCCACCTCCAGAGACTCCCAACGGAGGAGCTGCACCGTGACTGCGACGACGGCCGCCACCACTCACACCGCTGTCTCCACTACTGCCACCACCCCGACTGCTGCCTCCACCGCCGCCACCACTCCCACCGCCGGTACCGCGAAGAGAAGTCATACCAGGTACTAGGGTATGCAGGGGCGGCGCACGGGCAGGAAAAGGCGACGGTCCGCCAGAGGAAGGCGGCATGCTGCGGGAAGTAGGGCGCGCGGGTAGGGTAGGGTGCACGGTGGCGCGCAGGCCGGGCGACGCGGCAGCGAGCCGCGCGCAGGCAGGGCAGGGCACAGGGGCAGGGCAGCCGCGAGGCGCGCGCAGGGTGCAGTAGCAGCGCGCGGGCGGCTGAGGCTCCGCGCGTGGCAGCGCTGGGCTGCGCGAAGGCGGCGGACGCGGCGCGCGGGGCCGCTGCAGGCCGCGCGGGCGGCAGACGCGGCGCGCGGGGCAGCCGCAGGCTGCGCGGGCGGCGGACGCGGCGTGCAAGGCAGCCGCGGGCTGCGCGAGGGCGGCAGCCGCGGCGCGCGGGGCTGCTGCGGGATGCGCGGGCGGCAGACGCGGCGCGCGAGGCAGCTGCGGGCTGCGTGAGGGCGGCAGCCGCGGCGCGCGGGGCTGCTACGGGCTGCGCGAGCTGCCGACGCGGCGCGCGGGGCAGCAGCGGGCTGCGCAAGGGTGGCGGACCCGACGCGCGGGGCAGCAGCGAGCTGCGCACAGAATTAGAGTTTGCGCGTGCGTGCAGCGCAGCGCAGGCAAGGCAAGGCGCGCGCGGGCAGCGCAGCGCAGGCAAGGCAAGGCGCGCGCGGGCAGCGCAGCGCAGGCAAGGCAAGGCGCGCGCGGGCAGCGCAGCGCAGGCAAGGCAAGGCAAGGCGCAGGCAAGGCAAGGCGCGCGCGGGCAGCGCAGCGCAGGCTACACAAGGCAAGGCGTAGGTAAGGCAAGGCGCGTGCGGGCAGCGCAGCGCAGGCTACACGTGGGGCAGCTCAGTAACCACAACGGTAAGTGGGCCCGAAAAATAAAACGGTCCTACGGACCTACTGCTCTAAAACCATGTCAGAAACTACAGGCAAGAATGAGATGGACTAGAACAGAGTTGGGTACAAATGTGAAACCTTAGAGGGGCTATACCCCATATTGGCTACCCCACTACAGCCTAGACATATGTAGCATACATATTATTTGATTATAAGTTGATGCGGGCTACCTTATGCAATGCTGTCAACGAGACTCAAGCTAGTTCCAAAGCGTAGGCCGACTCAGTTCAGTACAGCAATGCAAGGTTTCGTAAAAATAGCGGACAAAGTAGTGGCAAACAGTAATGGGCGAAGAGTGGTCTACTGTTGTACATAGGCAGGTGCATAACAAGGTCATAAAATTTCCTTACAATATGCCTGTTTCAAACCTCAGGAACGAGGTTCCTTTTGTATACCCACACAAATACTTCTAGTCATATCCAAGACAACCATGAAAGTAGGTAATACAGTACAATCTGATAATGTAAGTGTAAAACATGTTTATCACATACTCTCCTATGTTCTTAAAGCTAGCAGCAAAAATAGTGACCCCCCCCTTCTAGTTGGGTCCAACTTGAAAACGGAAGTTTTGGGAAAGTTGGAAGTTACGTGTGAGATTTTCTTTCAACACCAGAGTTTGCCTAAAAGTGAAGGGGGAACGATTGGATCATATTTATGAACTCTGATTGGTGACAAACTTTCGCGCACATACATGTGCGATTTTGGCGCAAGGCTGCACGACGTGCAAAGCTTCTGGTACATTCACTAGAAAAGAGAGTAGTAGTTCCTTCACCAACTTCGCGTGACGCAACGACACAAGCAGTTCCGACCACCCACACACGTGCAACGAGAACGTTTAGGTGATCCAGGGCTAGTCGAACTGTGAGACCAGTGCAGCGAAGGACCTGCGGCCTGCTCTTTTAGAATAATATTTGTCAGAATGTTATCTTATGCTGTAGCCTGTAGTGGGGTACTCTATAACGAGTACAACCCTTCTAGGGTTTCCTATTTGTATCCCCATTCTTGCTAGTGCAGTCCTCTTCTTTCTTCTAGATTCTGACAATATTAACAAGGGGAGGGGAGGGGACGGTAGTGGGGAATAACGACGGGAAAGATCAAGGGCGAGAGGAACAACGATGGGAATGGAAGTGGAGATGGGAAGAGCGACGTTAGGGGAGCGGAGAGAGGAAGAAAGACGGGAGGGGAGCGGAGACACAGAGGGCGAAGAAAGGGGATGGGAGAACAACAAGAAGACGAGAAGGTAGGGGAGATCATGAGGGCCAAATTGTGACGTGAGAGAGCGAGGGCGACGTAAGAGAGCGAGGACGACACGAGAGAGCGAGGGTGACATGAGAGAGAGGGCGCGACGGGAGAGAGGGCGACGGGACAGAGCAAAGAAGAGAGTGAGGGCGATGGGAGAGAGGGCGACGGGACAGAGCGAAGAAGAGAGCGAGGGCGATGGGAGAGAGGGCGACGGGACAGAGCGACGAAGAGAGCGAGAGCATCATTTCGAACTGCTGGTCTTCTTTCTCCACAAGTCTATACATAGCTATGACACTTGAAGGATACATATTTAGCTTTTGTGGATAGGTTCGGTGGAACACAAAGAAGCAGGAAGATGCATGGAAATGGAAATAAACTTGAGAACTGGGTTTGCACGGGATAAAGTAAGCTCGACTTTGAAACAGGGCAACAACACACAGTTATATGTATGTATATATTTATATACATTAGCTTGCGGGCATTACTTACCCGACACCCAGTGCCTCGATGCTGTTCAAGGGCAGGTCATAGAGCACAGTCATAAGTCCAATGCAGTCATGAAGAGTATACATGGAGATTTTCAAGCAATCACCAGCTCCTCCGGGTGCATGGTCCACGCGCCAGTATGAACTGTACTTCAGGGGCACGTTCGTGCATGCGTTGTAGTCCAGGTGTGTGGTGTAGGTGTTGGGTGATAAGCCGTAAAAGGGTTTGTCATAGAAGGTGAAACTTGAGGAGGAGACTGTTGGCAAGGCTCCTGAACAAACACAGAATGTGGGAGATTGGAAAATTGGGGCATGGGGTTTGTTATGGAATTTGTGGTTTGACAACGATGTAAGCAACATTCACTGACCTATGATGCAAGCACAACTGGTCAGGACTCCAGCTTCAATATCATCAACTAACATCAGTACCACTGGTCATCATTGAATGCAAATATCGTGGTCTCACCCTGGACGCAACTAGTGCTGGTCATGCCATAGCCGGGAGGGCAGTAGGGAGCCTTGATGGTAGCCGAGACACGAGTGCAAGTGGCCAAGGTCGGACAGCTCCCGTATGTGGCAGGTCCTGGTGAGGACAGATTAGAAAACAGTGGGGATATGTTAGTGTGACAGGAGAGCAGATGGATTAGAAGGGGAGAACAGATGACACGACAGCAGGGAAGCACATCTAGGACAGCACAATTCAGCACAATGCAACGTGTGCTAGAGAAGGACAATGGGCACAGGAATAGTTGGGCAGGAATAGAACAAACAGGCAATTATAGCATTGCATGGGGACAAAACAGTGCAGAGGGAGAGAGGAAGGAGTGAGAGGGGAAGAGGCGGGAGAGGGGGGGGGGGGGGGGGGAGGGGGGAGGAGAGGTGGGGGGAAGGGGAGTGGGGTGGGTGTGAGGAGGGGGGTTGGGAGGAAGGTGAGGTTATAATCCAACGGTATCAAGATTAGGAGATAACGTTACATACCAACGCATTCGCCGTAGAGCAGTGTGTAGCTCGGCTTGCATTGACAGTATGCAGAGCCATTGTCATACTTCCTACAATCCGACGTAAGCACCTCACACGTCTAGAGAATACAAGTATCTGGGGGGAAGGGAAGAGTTGAGGGAAAAGAAAAAATAAAAAAACAAATGGAGCAGCAAGCGCAGAGCACACTATCAGTACAGCACGCAATTGTGGTAGCACACAATAGCCCTGCCTGCTTACATTATGCCACCATTCTACATCACATAAAAAGCATCCTCTCAGCAGATATGGCATTCAACTATCTGGCATCCTCTCATTATGTCACTCATTGCAGCACTGACCAACGTAGCTGTTTTCGATCATGGTGTAGCCCCAATTGCAGTGACAGACAGCGAGCTCCTGCTCCTTCTCACAGTACGCATTCTCCCCACAGTCCATTATGGAGCACGAGTCTGTCGGGTTCACAGCACGAAAGAACACAGATGTGGAACGGGGAGCAACAATGCTGGAGTGAGGACAGGAGAGTGCCCTGCCTGCACAGCATGCCCGAGAAGACTTTGGTTGTGACTGGGAAGGTCATAATAGGAAGGAAGCAGCAATGGCAGATGTGTTATGCCTTGGACAGGAGGTGTCATGCTCAAGACGCATCATGCAGCAGTGGATATCCCTTGAGGAAGGGAAGCAATAAGGATGGATGACGGGGGCACAGTCTAACTCATGCGTGCAGGACGGATTGGGCAGCAGCGGGTATGGGAAGCAACAAGGGTGGGCACAGCTAACTCACGCGTGGAGGACGCATTGGGCAGCAGCTTGAGACCCCTTTCGCACACACAGTTTGCCCAGCCTCCCTCACTCTTGAGGCACTTCGCATTGGGGCCGCAGTTGCATACCACGCACGAGTTTGCACTCAAGCACGTGGGGGCAGACACAGGCACGTGGGGGCAGACACAGGCACGTGGGGGCAGACACAGGCACGTGGGGGCGGACACAGGCACGTGGGGGCAGACACAGGCACGTGGGGGTCAGAATTAGGCACAGTTTGGGGCAGAGAGCACGTGGGGGGCTAAAGCATATAGTGCATTTGGGAAGCAGGAGTGCATCCGGGCAGCATAGAGCACACCTTCAATTGTGCAGCACTATTGGCCAGAAACCATAACGGTGAATGTAGTAGCTGTAATGCGGATTGGAGCTGGCCACAAGGCTACAGTGGAGCAATGCTGCAGTCTTTCTTTCCGACAGCACCCACCAACGCAATTGCCACCTGCGTCCTTCTCTTGGCCCGCAGGGCAGTTGCGGTTGCTAGAAGCAGGTGGCAGATGAACATCAGCAGTTGGCCCGTTGGGCGGAGTGTCTGAAAAAACGATGATGGGGGGCAGGAATACTTGAAATACTTGCAATGTGGTAAACATGAAAGCGTGCCAGATAGTTGCTCTCTGTGTCCTTCTCTTGGCCCACTGGGCAGTGGCAGTTGCTAGCAGCAGGTGGCAGGTATACATCCATAAATTTGGGCCCTGAGAGAAATGACTGGACGCAGGGAGAGAGAGCGGGAGAGAGAAGGGAGAGATGCAGCCATAAATGTTGATCCAGCAGCACCTGCCATCGGCGCAAGCCACACTAAAATCAGCACAAAATTTAACATAGTTCTCATAGCAGCAAATAACAGAAGCGTAGCCGCAAACAGCCGCCTTACCCGCGCACGACTTGCAATCATCCCGCACCGTGAAGTGAGGGTCACAAACACAGGAGGCCACTGTCAGAGGTCCACTAGTGATCCCCGATTGATCCTAGGGAAGGGTTACAGGCTTGTTGTCCTGGGGGGTTATAGGCGCACTGATCCGCTACTTAACAAGCCCTTTTATCCCAATGGTCTAGTGGTTGGGATTCTGACATGGTATCAGAGCGAAGGTCTCGGGTTTGAATCCTGGTGTGTGCACTTCGGGCATCCCAGTGCGGGGGGGTGTCAGAGGTCCACTGGTGATCCCCGATTGATCCTAGGGAAGGGTTACAGGCTCGTTGTCCTGGGGCGTTATGGGCGCACTGACCCGCTACTTAACAAGCCCTTTTATCCCAATGGTCTAGTGGTTGGGATTCTGACAGCCACCCCATCCCCGGCCATGATGCACTGGCCATTTTCACCACACTCTAGGAGCACACATGTGTCTGCCAGGGGAGGGAGGCACGAAAGGAACAGAAAAACAGCAGAAACAACAGTAAATGCAAAGGGCATCTTGCATGACAAGCTGTACCACATTCGAAGCACACATAGCAGCAGTAACACACAGCACATCAGCAGCAGCACACAGCACATCAGCAGCAGCACACAGCAGCACACAGCACATCAGCAGCAGCACACAGCACATCAGCAGCAGCACACAGCACATCAGCAGCAGCACACAGCACATCAGCAGCAGCACACAGCAGCACACAGCACATTAGCAGCAGCACACAGCACATCAGCAGCAGCACACAGCAGCACACAGCACATTAGCAGCAGCACACACCACATCAGCAGCAGCACACAGCAGCACACAGCACATCAGGAGCAGCACACAGCAGCACACAGCTACCTGTGCATGTCCTGCCATCTTTATCCAGCCCGAAGCCAGGGTCACAAACACACGATGCCACCCCCTCCGCGACCTTAACACACATGGCATTTTCACCACACGCCTGGAGCACACACCTATCTAGTAAGGAAAGAGTCAAAGGGGACACCAAACATTAGAATCCAGCAACACCATAAGGAACAAATTACAGCGCAACTTATCAGTACAACACGAATAAGCAGCACTGACCAACACAGCCGTCCGCAGTCTTGTCAAATCCAATGTTGCAATGACAGGAGGAGAGTCCTTGGTCCTCTTCACAGTAGCCATTCTCCCCCCAATCCTCGACGGTACACAGCTCTGCCAAGTTTAGCACGAGAGGGTGGACAGCAGAGTAAGCAGACGGAGAGTGATAAAAGGACTCTTGGAGTGCCCAGCATGCTGACAGGCCCGGGATTTACCAAGAAGGCTTGAGCGAGAGGCAGCAATAGCAACGACGACACCACTGTATCATGACAACACCGGGTTTGAGCAGCAGCGGATATGGGAAGCAAACAGGATGGGTGGAGTCACTCACGAGCGCATGATGCATCGGGCAGCAGCTTAAAGCCCCTGTTGCACACGCAGTTTGCCCAGCCTGCCTGGCTTGTCAGGCACCTCGCGTTGGTGCCGCAGTTGCGTACCATGCACGCCTCTGCATTCAGGCACGTAGGGTTGGTAAGCACATGTGGTGAGACCCTGTTCCCTCAGCAGCTTCGTGAGTGGTACGCTGCGCGTCAACGCGGCGGAGGTACAGGTCCCTGCACCTACGTCCTCCGTACCGGCGACCGCGCTGGTGAGCAGTGTGGGGGCCCACACTCCACCCAGCGCTGCTTCGGCCGCCTGACAGACGCGTAGCGTCACCAGTTCCCTGAGGCGTCAGAGATCCCTCGCTGGGGAGATCTATCAAGGGCGGGGGTTGCCATCTTTGATCCTGACTATGATGCAATTCTTGCTGCCATGTATGCTGTGACTGTTAGTGTTGAGGGTGACTGTTACCTGTGTGTTCCGCCTGACCCGGGCATTGAGGCTGCTGCTCTAGGTGCTGGAGAGGATCCTGCTCTAGGTGCTAGTGCGTCTGCTGCCTCAGGTGCTAGTGCGTCTGCTGCCCCAAGTGCTGGTGAGTCTGCTCTCTCAGGTACTACGTCGGCTCAGGCCTTACACACCTTCACCCTTGACTCGGGTGCTTCCCGCTCCTTCTTTCGCGACCGCACCACGCTTACGCCGCTTAGTCGGCCGGTTGCGGTCTCCCTTGCGGACCCCTCTGGGGGTCCTGTCCTTGCTAGCTTCTCCACTGTCTTACCGTGCCCGACAGCCCCCTCTAGCACCCTGTCAGGTCTCTACCTCCCCTCGTTCTCTACGAACTTGGTGAGTGGAGCGGACCTACAAGATAAGGGGGTTGACCAGTTCACTCCTGCGAGTCAGCAGGTGACCCACTGCATGTGTGCTCGGACAGGCCGGCACTTGGCCACGTTCACCCGTCAGCCAGGGTCGAGCCTGTACACACTTACTACTGAGTCTCCTCCGGCTGCTGCGTCTGGTCAAGTAGCTACGTCAAGTCAGGTGTTTGCTGCAGCGTCCAGGTCTTGTCCTGAGTCTGCTCCCTGCTCGTGCCGTCTCCTGTCCCACCAGACTCTCCTTTGGCACCACCGCCTTGGTCACCCCTCCCTGCCTCGGCTCCAAGGCATGGCCTCCCGTGTCCTTGTCTCTGGTCTCCCCCGGTCTCTCCCTCCCCTACCTCCGGGGCCCGCCCCTACTTGCGTCCCCTGCGTCGAGGGGCGACAGCGCGCCGCCCCTCACTCCTTCGAGTTTCCTCCGACAAAGGCTCCGCTGCAGACTCTTCACATGGACGTGTGGGGCCCCGCCCGCGTCCGTGGACAGGGGCACAAGCGTTACTTCCTGTTGGTGGTTGACGACTACTCGCGTTACACCACACTCTTCCCTTTGTGCAGCAAGGGCAACGTCACTGAGGTGTTGATCGACTGGATCCGCGCAGCTCGTCTCCAGCTCAGAGAGAGTTTCGGCTCGGACTTTCCTGTTCTGCGTCTGCACTCTGACAGAGGCGGGGAGTTTTCCTCTGCCAGTCTGGGAGCCTTCTGTCAAGCACAGGGCATTCGCCAGACCTTCACGCTTCCGGCCTCTCCGCAGCAAAATGGGATTGCTGAGCGCCGCATTGGCATGGTTATGGACGTCGCTCGTACGTCCATGATCCATGCGGCTGCCCCCCATTTTCAGTGGCCGTTTGCAGTTCAGTACGCAGCGCATCAGCTCAACCTCCAGCCCCGGGTCTCCTTGCCAGAGACCCCCCACACCCTGCGGTGGACGGCGAAGGTTGGCGATGCGTCTGCGTTTTAGGGCTGGGGATCTCGGGCGTTTGTTCGTGACTTGTTTGCGGACAAGCTGCCCCCCCGTGCTGTTCCCTGCGTCTTCCTTGGCTTCCCCCGTGACGCGCCTGGTTGGCAGTTTCACCACCCCACCTCGCGCCGAGTTCTGTCCTCCCAAGACGTCACCTTTGACGAGTCTGTGCCTTACTACCGTCTCTTCCCCTACCGCACTGCGCCCCTCCCCCCGCCGCCGCTCTTCCTTGCGCCAGGTCCTCGCTCGGTAGACCCCCTCCCCCCTGAGGGTCCTGCCCCGTCAGGTGTGTCCCAGGTAGATGCAGTCGAGCCTGTCGAGGTAGCTGTTGACTCTGGTGCTGCTAGAGGTGCTGAGCCTGCGGGTGCCGGGTCTAGAGGTGCTGAGCCTGGGGGTGTTGAGTCTGGGGGTGCTGAGGTTGGGGGTGCTGGGTCTGCTCGTGTGCCCTCGCGCGGTGATTCTTCAAGGCAGGAGCCACTCTCTCCGCAGGAGCTGCGCGAGTGGTTTGCCCGGCGCTGGAGCCGTGCTGCCGGAGCTGGAGGTACAATTGTTGCTGCTGGTCCCGAAGGGGCTCGTTCTGGCCGTTCAGGAGCTGCTGGGACTGGGGGTGCTGCTGGTGCTGCTCGAGGTACTGCTGGAGCTGCTGGCGGTACTGGAGCTACCGGTCCTGCTGGAGTTGGTGCTGCTGGAGCTGCTGGAGCTGCAGCTGCTGGTGGTATTGGTGCTGGTGGTGCCGCTGGCGCTGGTACATCTGAGGGTGCTGGAGTTGGCGCTGTTGG